ACAGACCTATTGGAATGTGACAACGAAATTGGCCTACATCATTTTTCGCACATATGGGAAAATGGTCACTACCATATGCTCAGAAATAACTATTAGGATAACAGAGATGCATTCCGTTACCATACATGCTTCGACATTCGGATGTGATGATTCACAGATTGAATTTCACACTATGAAACCTTTGCTTCCATGTCATTTACGAGTGTTTGAGTGTTAGGAGAGTATTTATCTGTTAATAAAGAAATATTATCTTCTCACTGGATCTTTGAATGTTTGCTTGTAGTGAGATCATTGCTTGTTGTTTTGTTGGTTGTGTGGCATAATGGTAATAGTTTTCAATGTGCATATGTTTGTTTCAAAGGACTGAATGCAGTGGTATATGCAGTCGCTTCAACACAATGTTTATGGTCTTTAAAAACACTCGCTATTAATTTGATTCACATTCCCTTGAGTTTTGTATTGAACATTTTGGCCAAGCCGTGGTATTTCAAGAGCAGTGATATTTTTCTCTTCACATTGAGTGATCTATCTGGAGTAATTACAACCCCGTCTGATTATGATTTCTACTATTGGCTAGCAAATAGAACGATATTCAGATATGTATCGGTGGAAAAATGAGTCCATATCTTATGGTCGATTTGTGGGCATTCTTCCATCTGGTTACCTGCACAGATCAGTTATATGCCGTTGAAAACAGTAATAGAGGCGTGGTAGCTGTTTGTGTTTTTCACCTGAGAATGCTTGTTTGCTGGCCAATGTGTTTATGACAACAGGTGAAACAGTGAGGGTCAGCATCTGGTGTTCAGTGATGAATGCTGTGGCCAATAATTCTGGAGTATTACCTACCGCTACAGCTCACTTCCCCCCTAGTGGGGTTGTGAAGACCCCAAGAAAAAACCAGCCGGAAGTAAAAGTCCCCATTTGTTTCCCTATCGGTAAAAACTCTTCCGATCGGCTTCATGAAGTGCCTACTGGTCGTCTACCTATGCTAATAGGGTGTCTGTACATCGCTTCCTTGATGTTTGTTAATTGGATCTTGTGCTTCGTTTGCTTCTTGTGCAGTACCCGTCGCATCTGGAAAAGAAAGCAGGAATGCTAAGAACCTTTTTGAGGAAAATGTACCAAAAATGACGTCTGAAAAATGATATGCGTCTATTATAGAATACAATAATGCAAAAATTAGAACATCGAAAAAGTATCTATCTAATTTTTTCAATGGATGTAACATGTACAGATAAAAAGTCTTTTACTTGTGTTGAGGGATGCAACATAAAAAACTGATGTATCTGAAAGGAAAAAAATAAATACCACAAGTGAATAAGAATTGGGTGAATCGCATCACTAAGTTACGTGATATAAGTGTGAAGATATTCTGGGAATCTCACGTTTAACAGATATTCGGTAACTGGGGTATTATTAGGAATGCTCAGCTCTTGGCTAATACGATTGCCTTCCAAGTAGGCATTTCAGACGGTCGATGCAAACAGCCGGAGTCTTCGTGGACTTTTTTTGTCTAGGACAAAGAATTTATCCATACGTTTAATGGTCCGTCGTATGTGGGTTTCAGCGGGCGACTCACAGAGTCACTACGAAAAAAATTCATGTGAAGTTTTCAAACACGGGTGAATAAAGACATCTGTGGACTGTGGTCGAAGGGGAGCAGGTTTCACTGAACGCATTGCGTTTGTAAGCCTGCTGATATATGAGGCGTGATCTACCGCTGGTGGGGAGCTCAAGGGAGATACAAACTCACTTGACAGTCGTAGTGTTGTGCCATATACTAACTTGGCGGTAGTACAATCAGCATCAGTTTTCGAGGCGTTTCGTATCCCTAGGAGAACTAACGGAGGTGATTCAATCCAATCGATATCGTTTGCAGCTGATAAACCCGCTTTCAACTGTCTATGTAGACTTCCTACCACATTATTTGCTTGAGGATGGTAGGCTGTTGTTCAAAAACGCATGCAACCAGGGATTTTGGTCAGGGCGAAGAATGAGCCGATTTCGAATTGCCGCCGGTGATCAGTTGTTATGGAAGATGGGCATCCAAAGTTCGCGATCCATCTTTCTACAAAGATGCGTGTGACTGTTTCAGCAAGTACGTCCTTGAGAGGTCCAGTTTTGGACCATCGTGTGAAACGGTCGATGCAGGTTAAGATACAGGTGTATCCATGAGATTCCGGAAGGAGTCCAACCATATCTACATGGACGTGTTCGAAACGGTCGTCAGGGATAAGAAAGGTGACAAGAGGGCTTTTGGTGCGTCTCCCTACCTTGCAATTTTGGCAAGCTAAGCACGTGTGTGCCCACTGTCTTACTATCTTATTAACACCAAGCCGACAAAACCGACTAGTTACGAGTTTGACGGTAGTTCGAATACCTGGGTACGATAAGCCATGCAACGTATTGAAGACGTTACGGTGATAACTTTTAGGCACGATGGAGCGAGGAGTACTCATGAAAACGTCACATAGAATAGTATCTCTCCCCATACTTAAGGGTTTCTCGGCTAATTGTAGAGTTGTTTTCGACAACTCATGTTGAAGCTTGGTATCTTCTTTTTGAAGACGAGCCAGTTTCACAAGGTCTATGCCGTCGATTTGGGTGGGGGAACAAATGAGCGCCAAGGCATGTGCCACAGTGTTGTTGACGTTAGTGGCCAGTGGAAATTACAAATTCACGACCCTCCACTGGATGTCTAAAATGAGATATAGCACAGTACATAGCTAGAAGTTCTCTGCCGGATGTGCTGTACTTCGTTTCTGCTAAATGAAGGCGCCTCGGGTAAAAGGCGAGTGATTGCCACTCTCTTTTGACTAGTTGTTGCAGAACTGCACCGATTGCATTGTCTGGTGCATCAACCAAGAAAATTAACGGTGCCTTTGGATCCTGATACTTTAGAACTGTGGCATCTGCAATAGCTTTTTAACCTGAGTGAAAGCATGTCGAGAAGACGCGTCGAGTTCGATAGACTTGTTATTTCCTCGAAGAAGGTCTGTAAATGGCTGAATCAGAGAGGAACAGTTGAGAACAAACGGTCGGTAATAACTTACCAAGCCGTTAAAAGTGGGCAGACTTTTAACTGTTTGTTCAGTATTGCCTCGACTTCAGTAGCCAGTGGGTGAATACCCTTGCAGTCAATGGTGTGGCCCAGAAAGTTGAGTGAGTCAACGCCCATCTGACACTTTTGAATAATAATGGTAACACCATTTTGGCTTAACCTTTTGAATGCCAAGTCCAAGTGTCTAAGGTTATTTTTCTTGTCTGGACTGACAATGAGGCAGTCATCTAAGCATGCGTATACAAAGTAGAGAACACGAAATAATCCGCCAATGAAGCGTTGGAATGTTTGTGCTGCATTCCGAAGACCGAATGGCATACGTAGAAATTCAAAAAGTCTGAAAGGCGTGATGACAGCCATTTACGGAATGTCATGTGGTGCCATCAGGGTTTTGTTATACGCTTTAACCAAATAAATTTTCGAGAATACAGTTGCAGCAGATAATGTTACCGTCAAGTCGTCTATGTGAGGTGATTGATAGCAATTAAGGGGGTTGTTTCGGTGTTTACGTGCCGGTGATCACCAGTGGGTCGCCAATCGTTGCTATCTTTTATCGGTACCATATGCAGTGGGGATATCCATGGGCTATTCGATGGCCAAACGATGCCGAGGTTCAGCATATGGTCGAACTCATTTCCAGCGAGTCGTGGTTTGTCAGAAGCAAGTCGTCGTGCTTTAGGTGTCACGCGTTGTCCTGAGGTTACGATGTGGTGCATAGCATTGTTGGTTATGCACGGTAGATCGTTAGACGGGCAATTAAGTTCTGGGTGCTTATCAACAATCGGTTGGAGTTTTGGATCAAATATTGCTTTCTTCTTAACGAGTGACAAGCCATGGCCTACGTAGGCGAGGCCTTTGATAGACAGTCTAGTAGTACTGTCAATCAGTCGTTTTTGGTGGACGTCAACGAGTAAATCATGATGATGAAGTATGTCTGTGCATATTATGGGCATTGTCACGTCAGCGAGAAGGAAAATCCACTGAATAGGTCTGCGTAAATCTACGTATTTCCTACCAAATGTTGCAACTGGTTTTCCATTTGCAACCTGTAAGTTGAAGGTAGGGTCTTTTTGTCGATCTGTTGCTGTAGCAGGAAGGACGCTGACTTCAGTGCCTGTGTCGAATAAGTACCGGGTCTGGTTGATTACATCATGAATGTAAAGTAGACGACTAGTGCCACCGGCAACAGTTGCCATTAATACGTGCCGGCCGGAAAGTTTCCCGTAGTTTTTGAGAAATTGCCAAAATTACAAGGTTTTCGGCAACATTTTGCTTCCTGGCCATAGATATTGTGATACCAGTACCAGTCAGGGTTTTTTAGTGAACGTGGCTTGGATTTAGACCGACCGTTGAGGGGATTTCGGACGACGATAGAAGGAATTACGGGGCATATTTGACCTAAGAGGTAATTACCTACCGCTACAATATTCGGGACAGTCTGTTGACTTCGGCCTAAATCCAATCACTTCCACATACTTATCAAAAATTTTGGGATTTCGGCCAGTTCCAAGTCAGCACTCAATCACATTAACCCTCACATTTTATGTTTTAACCTCTCTGCTTTTTGTATATTAGGGATTATCTTAATTCGTCCTTGTTTCCTCTGTTATATAGACCTTTACGTTTTATACCCTAAAATTACTATCTACCACTTTGATGCTTCAGGCAGAACCGATTTACGGTGAATTAATTAATGCAGCCATCCAATAAGTTCAAGGCTAGAGACTTCATTCAATTCATTATTATGTCCTGGAATCTTTTCCTATCAGTAGGAATCGACTATCTGCTTATCAAAATTTCAGCACTAGATAGTCGCAGATATGTAGGATATTAGATGCAAACAAAGTATCAAGACCAATGCATCTCCGGCGTTTCTAAAATCCTGAGAATTCAACGAAATATCCGTTGAAGATTCTACTCGTTTGTTTGACATTGTTCAGTTTTAGCGCGCATGACAAGATTAGTTGCATATGAGTGTTTTTTGTTCATCTGGCTACTATCGTCCTTGAATTCTTTTGTTTGTGTAGTAGACGGCAGATTATGTTACAGAAAGACCAGAAAATTCGTCGGAATAAATCGATAGTGTATACACAGATGATCGATTTTTTATACATACGGTCATATGCAATGAATGTGTATTGTTAGAGGGTATCTGTTTGTAGATATACGTAATGGGTAGGTTATAAATATTTTATAAGGAAAAAAATTAGACGTAAAAAATCCATGGGAGAGTTTCGGTTCTGATCAGTATGATGACAAAATTAGTGAGTTTTTATTGTATTATTAATGTGATTACTTATAGATGAGCCCTCTAGTTGCTTTAACAGTATCAAGCTCAATGGTGAGGTTCTTGAAGATAAACTTACGCTTATTTAGGTTTCCCATTCCTCAAAAGCCAATTTACAACCATTGATTATCTTGTTAAATGTGGAATTTGTAATGTAATACTTCTACCGGAGAGTATTTCAACGCATTATGGTTTGTTCCTCCTTTATTCTCTATTGACTGCTCCTAGGTGATCGACACGCAGAGTCATCAAAGTCAGCTTCCGCTATATTGCCATATGAAGCTGTTTCATGGTGTGAAGATCAGGCTGAGATTGATTCTCAAAAGGATCGTACTCCCAAACGCACTAAAGTTGCACCTCTTAAGCGCACTAAGCGTTCTGTAAATAATTCACTAGATGCTGCTCTCAGTTCAGGTAAAGCAGGAAAGATGCATATATTATATGATGGGGTTCGAGAATTAGAAAATAACATAGTTGAACATCATGAAGAACTCAGAGAACCAGTGCTGCTAAAATTGGCGAAATCAGATGGAAGAATACTTCAGGGTGACGAGTTGCCGAAGAAGACCGTTAAAGTACCTGCAGAAAAGAGGCTCAGCGATCGATCAATCTGGTCTGTTGTTTATTCAAGGGAGCAATGTAGTTCCGGTAGCTTCGGTGACCTTTCCCAAAAGAGTCAATTTGAGGAGAGTCGCACTTCGGCAAAAGACATATTTGAGTGCCACTCAGGTTTAAGTCACTCTAATGATTCCGGTATTGGCTCTCAAACACAATCTACCCTTCGTTGTTCTTCCTATCCACCAACTCCTTCCTTGTCTCCTCATCTTCCGAGTTCAAGCCCGTCTAATGTGTCTGATGACACAACACTCAGTTTTGGTCACTTCCGTCCTGAGTTTCCAAACCGTCCAGTCTCCCGTTCTTCTCATTCTAGTTCCGGCAGTGGTGCTGGTCCATTTGACCAGCATCCTGTTTCTGATCACAGTGGTTTTCCTCCAACTGTTCTTAATGTAAATAGTACAAAAATAATTAATCCGATTCCCTTATCAGCAGGAAAATGCAAAGTTAGTGGTAAAATACCGACAGTCTGTATACGTAAACAACGCATTGGATCTAATTCTTCTCTTTCTTTTGTGCCAAGTGACACTATACCCGTAATGTCTTCTAGAAACGAAATGCCGATAAATATGTATAGTCTAAAGAATAATCCACAAGAGACAGACTATGAGGCAGCTAAACATGAATTGCGCCGGAATGGTTTTCATGGTTGGATCTCTGATGAACGGAGAACTGATAATGTCAAACGTTTATTAGCGTTCCAGCGCATATCGGGTTCTTCAAGAAATCAAAGAATATTGCTACAACAAACCCCTAGACAGGTGAAGGGCGTTCAGTTTGCTCCATCCTTTGTCTCACAGTATTATCAAGGTGAACGTTCGGAAAGTACAGGTACCTCTGCTTATACTGATACCAGTCATTTTATCCAACCCAATGTCACACTACCATCAGAAAAATCAAGTAGATTAGATTTGATGGGCGATAGCTTATTACGAACTAACTGTTCTTCGGAACCTATGCTTTCTGACCACTCTGATATTATAACGAAGGATAATGAAATCCAAGAGTTCGTGGAGGATTTAGGTGGGTTGCTCTACTTATTTTGCTTGCTATTATTTTCATAAACTATATTTAGTAGCGGCATTTAAAAAAAACGTGTAAGATAACTTTTATCCGTAAAAGATAAACACTGGTTAAATATCCACCTACTTTTAGATTGTTATATAGACCGGCAGGAGAATGAATCTGTACAGGCTGTTGTACTTGTTGAGAAAAATAGAGAGGTGTAGTAGACTATTGTCATGTGAATTACTACCTATAATGCATTTTTAAAAATGCATTACATGACTTCAATTTCTCACACCATCGAATTTTGTGAAGTTTTTATGTTTTGTTCAAGGATGGACTCGTGAAGTGAAGCCCTGACTGACCTCTTAATGTCTCAGCATTTAAATAGCGAAATTTCCACCCATTTGCTAAATATCTGTAGGTTTTTGATTAGTTTTAAAAGAGGAAGTTTTTGGACATCTGAGAAGCTGAAAAATACATTAGAGATTATTCCCATTTCCTCAGTTAACTAATGTCTTTGATTAGTAGGCTACGTGAGCACTTTTGGTTGTCTCAGCGATAAATCGTTAAACGTAGTTCCTATGCGCTTTCTAAACTAATGGAAACTTATTTAAAAAAGTCTATTTCACTGTGCGTATTTGATCGGTGATTTTAACATGAATTATGATTTACAGTGATACGTTAAAGTTCATTATGAAGCAGTGGATTATGACTAAGTCACACAGGAATTTTGTGTAGTGACACTTTCAAGTCTAATTTATTTTATTTTACTTTGAGGCAAACGCTATCACGTTTTAATGTTATCTTCAGAATGTGGGGGAATCTTTTGAAAAAAATAGTACAGATAACATTTCGAACTGCATATGCTTTAAAAATTATTGTCTTAAAGTCTGATTATTATTATTGTTTCCTTTAATTCCTAGAGGAACATAGGGCTTCAGCCATGCGTCTCCATTGCGTTCGGTCCTCTGCTAGAGTTTTCACCTGGCTCCAAGTCTGCCCACACGTTTTCATCTCCTCTTCACATGACCTCCTCCAAGTCACCCTTGCACTGACGACCAACTCGCCGCTTCCCTTTTGGGTTCCACTCGAGCAATGGCTTGTCTAGTGATGTCACTCACTTGATGGTTTCCTCAGAGTATGGCCAGCCAATCCAACTCCATTTCTTCCTGCCTATTTGTTTCACAATCGGTTCCTGCTGTGTTGGTTCGCCAGAGATCTCTGTTGCTGATCTTTTCTGACCGGCCATCTGATCTTGAATATTGAGCGAAGACAGCTGTTAATGAAGGTCTGTAGTTTGTTCGAAGTGGCCTTCGTGACGCGACGCGATGCCAAGTCTCTGATCCGTATAGTAAATAGCACTGACTTCACATTGGAGTTGAAAATCCGGATCTTATTTTTGATGATGAGTAGTGCTGTTGATCTCCACACAGACTTGAGAGTAGTGAAAGCTTATCTTGTCAAGATGTGTTCATTTTCGCTATGAAAGTATCGTCTAACCTTTTAGTCAATTTGTAAGTATATACTATGAAGCTCACTCAGCCGAAAACCTCCTTATGAATCGCAAATTATTAGTTACTAAATTCAATGTGGCATCATCGTATGTGCTAAGTCACTGGTGTTTGAACGAGATAGGATTTTACATGGACTCATCGAATGTACTTCAAAGCTGTCTATTTACTAGTCATAGTCTTTTCTCACTATGTAGATAAACAAGTAGCAGTTAGTGTGTTTTAGGATATTTTAAGTTAATTTTGCAACGTTTATGTAGCTAAAAATTTCCATTATTTCGTGTAAAAGAAGAGGCGTTCAGTGAAGAGTTACTCTTTCCATCAATATCATTCTCAAACTGAATAATCACACATTTATAATAAATTTTCACGGTAACAAAAGGAATGTTTCCAAAGGTGTGTCACTAGGATTTCGAGTTTTAGAGGTAACAATCAAGAGATTCTAAATTACTTTATAGAGAAACATTGATGAGGCAGAGACTGTAGCAAAACCAAGTAATTAAATTGAGTGACGTAACATAGTTGATGGGACTGAGTAAAGTTCATTTAAGATTGGAGAAGGGTTAAGATCAGTGTCATAAGAAGTAGATGTGTAATAGTAGGTAAGGGGGAAAAAATTACGCGACAAATGTTTAGACGAATAAAGTCCATTGTAAGTCCAGTAGCTGAACAAACTTCTGATTTTTTAAATCCTGAACTGGATATTCAGAAGACATTTGTTCAGTCAATGAACTTACAGTAGACTTAATTTGTCCAAATATTTGATGCGTAATTTTTCTCCTTTCCTACTATAAGACTTCTACTTCTTATGACACTGATCTTGACCTTTCTCAAATTTTAACTGAACTTTACTCAATCATTATCAACTATGTTACGTCACTCAGTTTAGTCACTTGGTTTTGCTACAGTCTCTGCCTCATCAATGTTTCTCTATAAAGTAATTTAGAATCTCTTGATTGTTACCTCTAAAACTCGAAATCCTAGTGACACACCTTTGGAAACATTCCTTTTGTTACTATGAAAATTTATTATAAATGTGTGATTATTCTGTTTGAGAAATGATATTGGTGGGAAAGAGTAACTCTACGCTGAACGGCTCTGCTTTTATGCAGGTTAGTGTTGATTGTTGTTGTGATAACAACCTGTACGTTGTCAGTAGAATTTTGCAAGGTTTAACGATTTAAAGTCCCCCTGAGGTTATTGAATCGCATTATACTTAATTATTAGAAGTAACACTATCTATTTGGGTAGTCACTAAGGTCGATTTAACAATGAATATGGATAAATCTCTGCTATTAAAAAAAAGGTTGGCACTGATCCTGGGGGAATTAATTTCGTCACAGCGTCCAATTCAAATGGTTATAGGTTCAGTCTTTAAAACGAGACTTGTAAACCTCCCGTTTTGTTTTCGTTTTTAATTATAATAAATGCAGTCTGGCATAATGGTCACTGTTAAATTCTATTATTATAAAGTTAAGGAGTAGATTTTTCAGATATGGTAGGCGTTTCATGTGTCTAGGAATTTGTCTCAACTGCTATGAAGAGCCCAGTGACACAATCTCGGCACAGGTAGAAAAGGTCCATTTGGTATTTTCTCATATCTGGTGCAAAGAGAATATAAGATTATCAGTCAGTCAGATGGTGTAATCAGTGCTTGACAGTTCACTCTGTCCTACTGTTTGTTATATGATCATGTGTGATATATCTCTGATCATTCTGTTAGCATGAGTCACATATGATGGCATGCGATTCGCCCCTGTAAAATGTAAGATGCTGGTACAGGACTGGACTACGTCAACTCCTAGCTTAGTGATAGGGAGTGAAGTGATAGAACATGTTGACCACTTCACCTATTTGGGAAGTTGTATCAGCACCAATGGATTGATTGGTGACGAAATCTCAGCACGGATCCAAAAAGCTCGGGCTGCTTTCGCTGACTTACACCATCTCTGGCGTAGCCGTGACATCCGGCTATCAACCAAGGGACGTGTGTACTGCTCAGAAGTTCGCTTCGTCCTTCTCCATGGCTCTGAGACATGGCCAATATGAGTTGAAGACATGAAAAGGTTGTCTGTTTTTGATCATAGATGTATACGATCTCTTTCTCACGTTAGGTGGTATAATAAGGTAAGTAATGTTGACATTAGGCGTAGAGTGTTGGGCAAAGAGGGAAAATCAATCGACGAGGCTATAAAGTTACATAGATTGAGATGGCTAGGTCACGTGCTGCGCATGCTCAACCATCGCCTCCTCCGACGGACGGGCATTACTAGCTGATATAGGTGGAGGTTGGAAAAGAGTAAGTGGTGGCCAAACAAAAACATGGCCTCATCAATCCATGAAATCCCTGACAGTTAAACTGAGTCAGTTAGGGAGATGCAGACTTCTGGGTTGGGGCCATCGGGACTCTAAGAATCAATGACTGGAGACAATAAGTGACATGGCTCAAAATCGTTGTTAGTGGCGCAGATGTATTCAATCTCTGTAATCTTTCATATTCCTTTCTACCATTACTCATTCTGTTTCACTCTTATACTTGTCAAAACTCTATTGATTCTCTTCACTCATTTTCTTGTCTACCTTTGTGTGCTATTTGGAACGTGGCAACTCGAACTGGTGCACTTCGGTGCCAAGTTCTATGTTGAATCCAAACAGACAGACATGATGGAACTAAAAGTTTGATACTAATTAAATATCGAGTACTAGGTAAGGAAACAATGGTTGGAGACTATCGATGGCGCAGATGTACTCACTCTGTGATTTCTTATATCCACTAGACCATCATATTTTTCCATGTTCGCATCCTCCTCTTCTCACATTTCTGCTTATGATAATAATTATTTCTAATTTAAGCGTTTTTCTCTTTTGTCAACGTTTGTTTACAAAGTGGTGTGTTGCAAATTGAACTGCTGTACTTCTGTGCTAAGGTTAGAAATCAATCAGTAGTCATTCAAGGGAGTTTGGTTCTTCATTAAATATTAGGTAATGTATGAGTCAAGTATTTCAAACTGGAAAATTCCTCGAATAAATGCATGTATCTGAAGTAGTACTGAATTGAGAAAAAAGCGAAAAGTTATCAGAATAAAGGACAATATGACTTATGTATTTCGAATTTCAGTGTAAACCATGTTCATGAAGTTGCAGCGATTGAGTGTTGTCAGTGACATTGTTCATTACCGACCGCAGTGGCTCAAACGCAGTGACTGTTTATCAACTTCGAGTTCTTGATATATTCACCAGTTATTTTTATAGCTCTCTTCATCTCCTTATGTCTATTTTTTTATTCCAATATTATCAATAAACCAAAGGAGGAAGGTAATAGTATGTTGGCCTGGTGCCCACTGTCCTCGTTTCTGTTTAATTTCATCATAGATGTATCCTAACTGACTTCAGCGACTCACGGATTCACTTGTTACTAGGGGATAATCTCGTTGACATAGAACTGCGGATAATTTAGTCCTTCTAGGTGAAGACGTTGACAAAATGCAGAGTCTTCTCAATACATTGAGGGGGCAGCAATCTTCGAATGTTTCGCATGCCATTCGCTCATGTCAAATGAAAGATGGTGCTACAGAACTGGACTACATTGACGCCTAGCATAAAGATAGGGAGTGAAGTGGTTGGTGGAGCGTGTTGACCACTTCACTTCTATTTGGGGAGTTGCAACAACTAACGCCAGCAGGTTGATCTCTGACAAAATTTCAGCACGGATACAGAAGGCTCGTTTCGCATATGCCAGCTTACGCTATCTCTGGCGTAGACGTGATATACGGCTGGCTGTCGACCAAATGACATGCCTACTGTTTAGCAGTTCGCTCCGTCCTCCTTTGTGCCTGGCTGTGAAACTTGGCTATTGAAAGTTGAAGACATGAAAACGACAGCTAGCTGCTTTCGATCATAGGTGTTTGCGTTCTATCTCCCGTGTTATGAAATGGTATAATAGAGTGAGTAATATGGAGATTAGGCATCAGTCGAGTGCTAGTTGAGGAGGGGAAATCAATCGACGAGATTATGAAGTTACACCGATTGAGATGGTTAGGACATGTGTTACGCATGCCCAGCCTAGCCATCGCCTTCCTTGACTGACGGGAAATGTCATCTGACTGACATAAGATTGAACAGGTTTGGAAAGAGCTGCTAGTGGTGGTCAAACCAAAACATGGCTTCATCAGTCAATGAAATCCACAACAGTTTTAAGCCATGTGAGGAGGGAGGTGTAGACTTCCTGACTGGTTGGGATCTTCGGGACGGTAAAAACCAATGAAGGCTGGAGACAATTGGTGATATGGCTCGAAATTTTCGTTCTCAGTGGCTGACACAGATGCATTCACTTCTTGTGACTTATAATATCCAATTAAATTCTATTTTTCTTCCATTTAACTATTCTTTTTGCCTCATATTCTGTTTATTATCTGTCTCTTCTCCCTTGCTTTGTGTGTTACATGGAGGGTGTTTGGTAACTCAAAGTGTTGCACTTATGTGCAAAGTTCTACGGTGAAACCAGTCAGTCAGTCATGTTGGCCTGGTATCCAAGAAACGTTTAGTGTGAGCGAATAAAAATGATTGAAACTTCCTAATCACTAGAGCTTCCACAAACGTTAGGATACGCCCAAGCTCATTTTATAGGCAGATTTAAAAGAGGTGTAAACATCAATTTCATGCCTTCTATAGAATGTTTCTCAATAAAACATCTAAGTCGTCGGTTTTCACTATTACTGGATTCAGGGGAGACCGTATCCTTAAATGGTTTCAGAAATAAATCGAATCCTCTGAACCCATTGTTAGTGAAAACAGACAGCCTAAATCCTTTTATTACGAAATATATTATAGAGGGCATGAAATTGATGTTTACACCTCTTTTAAATCTGCCTATAAAATGAATTTGGGGCGTATCCTAAAGTTTGTGGAAGCCATAGCGATTAGGAAGTTTAAACCACTTTTATATATTCAAAAACAATTCCACTATTACCCTTATTCTGTTTAATTTCCTGGTTGCTTTTGCTAGCTGGGGAGATTCAAAAAAAGCACTTTCAAACAAGACTCCACTTTTATTTCTTTATCTACTGTAAGATGTCGCATTATATATATATATATATATATATATATATAACTTAGAGTATAAAGATTGAGTGATTCTATTAGTTGTATATGCAGTTTAAGTCTTCGGGCTTATGAGTGTGTGTACTTACATCAGCTACTGGAAATTTTTTTAATAAAGTCTTTATTCTGGATAGTATTTATAGAATATCCCGATCGATAGCTGCTACCTTGACGTGGTGGTCTCGGGCTTGCACATCGCAATGACCCAACAAGCTACACTGGCTGGAACTATTGTTCCTGCAGGTCCTACCATGCCAGGAAGGTTGTTAGGATAGCGATTAGACTAAAAGCAGTTACCGGCATAGTGTAAGAATTTTTTTCTACACTACGCTGGGGGGTCTCTGAGCGAAGTCGTACTGTTGGGTAACAGGGATGTAACAGCAGTAAGGTGTTTCCCTCAGATGACCAGCATGCCAGCCAGCTATGCTGTCTCTCCACTCTGGAGAGAGAGATGGGGTTAGAAAAGGTCGACCCCAACAATTGTACATCCCGACTTACCCCACCTACGGTGGTAGGTTTACTAATACGGAATCCAACCAAGAAATCAGTTCATGCAGGCCGTGTGTGACCGGCTGGCCTCAAGCAGTTGTCCCTTGGGCTCTGCGGTCACGCAACACTAGCCCTCTTTCTGTTTCAGGTAACTGAAGAAACAACCAACTTCCACGGTGTGGGTAGCTGGGAAGTAACAACCGCCCACACACTTCCAAGAGCACACTGACAGACAGACAGATTTATAAAATATAAAGAATTTTCAGAGGAGTTAATTGCATGATATTTTCCCTTCATACAATATCTTCAAGTAAAATATTAATTGACAGTATATCCTTCCTGTGACACAATGCTCTCTGAGCTAAAGCACAAACTATTCTATGATGATACATCTTCTTTGTCTCCTCCTTCAAGAAATCCACGATATCTGGTTGAGAGCCACTTGTAAGATGTTCAGAAGTACATTTTGAGACCCAAGGACATAACTGAAGAACAGTTATCTCATGTATTGGGATACGTTGCCACCCCCACAATCAGGCCTTTCCTCAAGTTTAGTAGGAACTAGTGAATCAGAAGTTTGTAAACATTTTAAATACACACCAGAGTAGGTAATACTAATAGAGGTCATATCTCAACCGATTATAACAAATAGAAAAAGAGAGAAAATATATGCAATAGAGAGAGATGGAAGTTTTTGGTAGCCCAAGTTTTAAGCAGGCCGCCAACGTAAGCAGTCTAGGTGTGATAGCAGTTTTCACTGCACACTACTTAAGTAGATTTTGTAATTATCCACGACTTGTGTATCCTGAGTGTCTGAATACGCTTTCAGAAATTGGAAATGTTATCAGTTTTGATCAGAGGCTCAGAGGCTCACAGTTCTTCTGTCTATGCATATCTCATGTGTTGATGTTAGCAAAGCCTTGGTCGGACACTCGTCGGTATGTCTGGTGCGATGAAGTAGCAATGGTACCTTCATTTATCATAGCTTGACTAGTTATTCATGTTGAACACAATTCCAATTTCTACTTCAAGTTAGTACCTGTTTGGTTAACACGAAGGAGTAATTTTCAATTATCAAATGTCTAACCGAGGAAATGTTTTCCTTTTATTTTACGGATTCTTTAGTTACTGGTTATAGACACTCAATCTGCTTTTTTGTGTCAGTTCTGCTGAGAAACGAATTTGGTATGTGAGAATAAAATCTTGGAAATACAGCTTCAGTTTCGACTTTAGTTTTAGTTTTACGTTCGCCGACCATGCACATGGTCCGGGGTTCGATCCCCAGCCGACGCACACCTGATATCAATGGTCGGCCTGCACAATTTGGGCTACCGATATCACATGCTGAAAATTCCATACTTGTACCAGAAAAGTACTGTGTGGTTTCAAGCTATAATCAGAATAGAATAAGAATAAATGTGTATTTTTCCGTGGAGTGCAGGAATTCTATATATAGTTTCTTCATTAGTAAAGATTTTCTGAGTTTCTTCTCATATGAATTCACAGTTTACAGCTGTGTAAGTCATACGCAAAGTTAATAAACCTTATACAGCACACCGAATTGAGACTTTTCAACAGACTGTCGAATTCGATTTTGATCTGATCCTAAGGTGGAGAGATATGTTTCTCAGATGACTCGATATATGTGTGGCACAACGCAGATTCTTTTGAGTTGGAGCTAGTTTCGTTGATCTAAGATCGTATTATCCTGAAAATAGGTTTCTTCTTTCTTTTTTTCAAACTGATCAAGACTGCTGGTTGTATAGAATAATTTCGATTTCTGGTTTTTCTCTTCTCTTTTTTTCAGATGATACTTTTGATCCTGTCACAGAATGTGGTTGTCTAGAGGTCGGTAATATCAAGTGTAAAAATTCAGTATTGTGTACAGTGAGTTCTTATTTCATAATATTACTATTTTTTCTTTAATTTGTTATTTCTGTTAGAAGAAACTTTAAGATTTTGGAGTAGTTTCATGTTTTTTTTAAAATCTTCCACTATGTACTACTTATTTCTGTCTTACAAACTTGTTTTCAGTCATCAAAGTTTTTGGCCTATCTGTGCTGATAATGATATCATTATTATATTCGTTTGCCTTGAATTTATGACAATAGGAACTAGCCTATACATTGGACTAGTCATATGATAAATACGAGTTCAGTGAACACTGACCTGCATTCATGAAGCCATAGTTACCACTAAGATTTCTTGATGGTGGTTACTAAGCTGTTTTCCCAACTTTAGTGACACTAATCAAACGCTTATGCTAAGTAATGTGCACACAGAGTGCATAGCCGCCTGTTCCACTGAATTTGTAAAGCCTGACAATTGATGAAATATTCATGTTAGATTCTCCCGAGGTTTGTTTATTCAGTGGTTTGGTTAACGGAATAATAAGGTGTATGTGTGTGTGTGTGTGTTAAAGTTCACTTCGCGTATAATTTATTCAAAACGTAAGCTTGGTAGAGCTTGAGCACTGGGAGCTTTAGACATTCATTAAGGTTATTATTTATGTGATCTGTGTTTTTGATGATATTAGATGGTTGGAGGCAATCGGCCACAGGAAGCCTTTGCTGACCCAGGTTTCGTGCTAGTCGGAACCCACCAGTCAGCAAGGCATATCCCTTCTGAGATTCGAACCCGCGTCACCCAGTGCCACCTGCAGTCAGAGACGTTACCACTGAGCTATTCAGGCTCGCAACTGACCTCCAGTAGGACTGTAGGGGATACTTTGATTGAACACTAGTAACTAGTGTGATGTGTCTGGCTAGTCCGTTTCCTGCCGATTGCCTCCAACCATCTAATATCATCAAATCAATGTGCATCATGATGGCGAGCTACCCCTTGAATGGTGGCCACATTGCAAAACCTGGCTGACTGATAGAATTCAGTCTGCACCAATGCCCAAGGACTAGACACATCACACTAGTTACTGACTAGTGTCCAATCAAAGAATCTGTGTTTTTCCTTATATGTGGTTGTAATTGATGGGCAATCGCATTTTATAGTGAGTGAGGAGATTCCTATAGAATTTCATATTGTTTTCGATCTTAAGTCAGTTACCTTCATTATGCCTTATTATCTGAATCTTTTAGAAGTTTACGATATTCGATGATATTTAGTATTCGTCAGTGATGGCTTTTGTACGCTTCTTTTTATTCAAAGTGATGTTATTGTGAAATCCTATTCTCTTAAAATTAGCATCTGTACATGGTTATAAACCTTTATCAACCTCATTCAACAGCTGTATGACGGTGTCACTCGTCAAGTGATTCACAACAGTAAACTCAGCGATACCCGTGAAATGGAGACAGGAGTAAGACAAAGCTGCCTATTATCACAGATGATCATCCTGATTGTGGCGGACTACTACTGGATCATGCGGCAGACCGTGGGGTACCAGAAGACAGGAATACGTTTGGCCGATAAGAAGACTCTAAGAGATTTTACATTCGTGGACGATTAATGTTTAAATGTGTCACCACACATACTTGAAGATCTACAAGTGGAAACCAACAGGTTAGCAGAAGAGGCAGTTGAACTTCAAGTGATTGTAGAGAAGTCGGGAGTGATGAGGATACCTAACCCTAATTACCATCAACGGGCGAAATTCGAAAGAGGTCACTTCTTCAACTTGTCCTAGGCAGCGTCGTTTTAACTACAGGTGGCACGGATAAAGATGTCGAAGCATGATTGGAAATCAGTATGTGGAAATCTAATTCACACGCAATAAGATTCGGATTTTTTTAACACGCATGTCAAATCAGTGCTTCTATATGGTTCAGAGGCTTGGAGCGTGATTGAAAGCATTTCTAACCGGCACCAGACAATTATCAACAAATGCAAGGTCGAATGGTCAGAAACAATTAGCGAAAAGGAACTTTGGCAACGAAGCAATCAAGAAGTTATCGCCCAACAACTTTGAGGAAGAAAATGGAGATGGATCGGACATCTACTGAGGGGACCTTTGAGTGACATCGCACGCCAGGCCCTCTAGTGGAACCCGAATTAGAAACAAGTTGGGCGTGAGTTCTAGGGTGATATACAGGAGATCGTGTTAAGAAGGAGATGGGAGCTTACAAGCGATCATGGAGTCATCTAGAAATGACTGCAGAGAGGAGGATGTAGTGGAGATATGCTGTTTAAGCTGCATATTCCGCTTGGAAGTTAAGCGAATAATAGTAATAAATGTACATGTTTAAGTAGGTGCAACATTGTTATCTCTCTCATCGCTTTGTGTAGTTAAAAAAAAAACAACTTTCCCATTTTGTTTTGATTTTTATTCGTCTGCACTACAAAATTCATAAACTCTTTTATCTGATCTCATTCTGCATAAATAATAACTATATGAGTTGCCAGTTCTGTCCAACACTGAACATTCACACCTTGTTGTACATTCCATCTCAATAAATATGACTTAGCATCAGACTATAAATCTCTGCTTAGCCAATCTGAGTCATTTGTTTGTATAATGTTTTGTATTTTATTGCCAATGATAGCAAATAGTGTGTTTGGGATTCTTATGCAGTACGCACCCACCACCAGGGTTCCAACCCAGGACCTTCTGGTTAAAAGGCGAGCGAGCTCGTAGACCATTAAGCCACTGGGGGACCCGATCCAATGGCCCATGATTTCTAACTTGCATTAGGTTGGAAAAAAGTTGAAAGTGATTCGACTAAGGCATTAAAGCATTAAAGCTATAAGGAGTAGGTGTTAGATACGCTTGGTAAAAGCATCACATTGAAGACTTATGGACTTTTTGTCACTGAAGTTTTGAACACTTTCAGTAGGTTTCATTTGATCTCTCTGCTTATATGTTCAACAACACTCCATATTAATTTGTGATAAGTGTAGTAGAAACAAAGAACCCGTGGCTTCCAGTATGCAGACGACGTTGTCTTATTGTGAGATGGTATGCAGGTTGCCCAAATCACAGTTAATCAGTTGGCGATCATTGTCTGTAAGGTATGGTATGTGTGTTGGGCCAACACTGGCAGGAGCCTGTACGTGCACTCACCCTCGCAGGTCAACTGTCGGAAGTAACCGATGTTTGTGTATGTAAGTAGTTGTTTTTAATGATGGTGGTGTGACAGTAGGGCGGTATACACACCAAATTGGACCATCCTTGGCCGTCAAAATTTGCACAATACGCATAGTATTGTTCTATGCCTGTGAAACCTGGTCTTTTTCGATCTGAGGATGTGCGGTGAATCTGTGTATGCGATCATCGCTGTCTCTGTAGAATTACTTGCATCCGGTGTCATCGCCATATAAGCTATTCTGAGGTCCATTGGCGTGTGTGTGTTTGGACTATAGAGATCGTCTTCCAATATGTGTTGTTATCTTGGAACACTGAATAGGGTGGCTTAGACGTGTCATCGTGGCGGCATAGCGGTTGAGACGCTCGCCGACCATGTGCATGGTCCGGGGTTCGATCCCCGACCGACGCACTCCTCTACCTCGCTAAGCCAGAAATAATGCTGGTGAAGAGGAAAAGTTGGGCATGAGGTTAGCAACCACATCCTGTAAAATAAACACTGCTAACGAAACTTCAAGCCACTAGCTTGAAGCCCTATGTTCCACTGGGGAATGTGAAGGATAAAAAAAGAAGTCATCGCAGTGACTCACATACCACTGACTGTTCTCTAACTCCGGGACTGCGTGAAAGAAATGGTCAACCCATGAAGATGTGGTGTGGTTTAATAACGGATGGTTGTATTAGGTCTGATACAAGAGATAATTCGAACCCGTGGTACGAGAGACATTATCAAATACGACCGAGATTTGTTATCAACGATGAACATAATTTTCAATTCCTCTTCTTTTTTTTCCTTCTCTTTCTGAACTTAACATGGATTTATGAACCATCCTCTGAATGCTCTTGATAACTATGCTTACTTGTTTTCTTGATTCTGTCCTTCACTTATTCTAGTTTTATTTTCCTAATGTTTTTGTTCCATTATTATTATTATTATTATTATTATTATTATTATTATTATTATTATTATTATTGCCTCATTCATTTCTTGGTGGTCATAAAGTATGAAGTTCTATTTTTAAACGACAATGATAACAATAATATTTATAAGCAACACATAAAGTTCACAATCTACACCAGGTGAGGCTTGTATTCGAATTATTTTCTATACACACGTTATGTAGCGTTTAAAGATTGTTAAAAAACAACAACAACAACAGACACAACAAAACATATGAGATGAGAAATTGCTTACTGATTCTCCCACTCACAGTAATACCTTAACAACAAATTACAATGGACATACTAAAATCGATTTTAATCTATCCAATGGAGGGAGATGCAGCTGGTTGTGTGCGTTCCCTAGCTCTAATATTCAGCCAGTGGTTTCTGGCTAGTTCGAAATCATTTCGTCACACAATAATGACTAGCTCATAGCTCCATGCATAAGTTAGCTGGAACTTGGCTTCCCAGTCACCGGCCTATGAGAGTAACACTGGTTGCGTGAGGGCTGATGATTACCACTCTGTTGCCCTGGTTAAAGTAGTCACCAAGAAGATGCGTCTTGCAATAATAATAAAACATTGGTTGGGGTCGTGCTAAATCACGAATTGGTAGAAGTTAGAATTCATGGGCCACTGAATCGGGTGAGTCCCAGTGGCTGAATGGTGTACGAGTTTGCTGGCCTTGTAACCGGAAGGTCCTGGGTTCGACCCCTGGCAGTGGGTGCGTACTGCCGATGATTCCCAAACTATGGTGGAAGAAACAGCTGTCCAGTTCTCCCTGGTTTTCTCTAGCTTATATCAATCCGTGATCAATTCGTAAAAATAATAAAACAGCAATATATAAAGAAAATCAGGGGAGGATGATTAAAAGACTTCAACCAGAAAGGAAGCAACTATAATCAGCAAGACCAAAAAACATTCTTCAAATTACTTTAAGAATAGGAAGGAAGAAGGAAGTTGACAGAATGAACTCCAATGATTGTGATTCTAAGGTATATCTGATAACGTTTCGAGCCACTTGTTCTAACTGTCTCTTAGAACCCAACCAGGAAGCCACGGTTTACCGACTGGTGCTAATCTGATACAGGTATCTTACTTCCCACAACGCCCGTCATTGGCTAAGCATCCTCCCACTTCTTCCATCCCATCCCATCCCACAGCTAGCAAACAGAGACCGGTATGGGAGCCTCTGGGAGGACATTCGCAGCACCTTTCCAAGCCATCAAAGCCGGTGTTTTTCCAGATAACGACACTCAGTGAATGGCGGTCTTTACGGTGTCCAAACACATTCAACTGAACCTCGGAATTACTCAGGCGATAATGCCATCTAACTCAAGCAGTTCTACAAAGACAGCGGTAATGGAATACGCTGAGTCGCTGCTGTACATCCTGTGCTTGGAGAGATCAGGTTTCACAGGTGTAGAGCAAGCATTGTGAACTCGACGTTTGAGAGCCGGCCTAACGTCTCAGCGGTTCAAATTGGCGTATGCCACTCTAGCTTTCATGACACTGTCAGAAATCTCCTCCGTCATACATCTGCCAGTACTCACACAACTACCTAGATACACGAACTTATCAGCAACTTCAGGTGGTTCACCTGCGAGGGTTAATGGAGGCACAGACTCCTGCCAATCTTGTAACAGTACTTTACACTTAGATACCACAAAACGCATACCATACTTACATACACAAGTAGGTAGAGCAAGATTCGATTCCTGGATCCATTGGTTGAAAGTTGAGTACTTACCCGAATGATCCCACAAGTCTCCATCCAAAAACTGGCTATATACAAATCACCATTCTATTTCTCATATCAGTACTGTCTTGGAAAGTTAATACGATCATCAAGAGACGTGTAGGTGTAACTGATAAGGAGAATTTAATGACATAAAAAGGTATGCAAGATAATGTAATTGTGTAAAAGGTATACATTTATGCATGCCATTTAGCCTGCGTGCATATTCTGAGTTGCTAAGTGGCTATTAGTCCGTTTTTTTCCTTCACGTTCCCCAGTGGAACATAGGGCTTCAAGCTTGTGGCTTGAAGTTTCTGTAGCAGTGTTTATTTTACAGGATGGGGTTGCTAGCCTTATGCCCAACCTTTCCTCTTCACCAGCATTATTTCTGGCTTAGCGAGGTAAAGGAGTGCGTCGGCCGGGGATCGATCCCCGGACCATGTGCATGGTCGTCGAGCGTCCTAACCGCTATGCCACCGACGCACCTATTAGTCCGTAACTAGTCATAATTCTGTCACCGGATACTTCACTCTATAGACACCCCTAACTTTACATACATAATGTGTATTTCTTCACTTTGTTTTTATCCTAAATAATATTTTATTTTATTTTTCAGGTACATACAATGGAAGAGAAGCGTAGAGTACCACGTCACCATGACATACGTGATCTTATGCGTGAAGCACGACAACGGCATCAAATGTTAAGGTGGGTAGCATAATTTATTTTGTATACAGTGAATAAAGACTCGCATTTTTTGTTGTTGATATTTCTAACCGTTCCCTCCTTTTTATCTATTCTCTCTTCCCTACACAGACAAGTATCCAATTCGTCGTGTCATCAGTATCCTTGGGTTGTACAAACTCCTCCCTCACCCAATACAGTTATTGATCTTACCGATGATAACAACAGAAATGAAGGCTATTGTGAATCTATAGGTTCATTAAACTATTCAATACCCCACTTAGCATCAAGTCATCCTCAAATGTTGCGTCATCATCACAATACATCAGCAGCAGCAGCCTTCTCTTCCCATGATACCCAAAGTTCACTATATTCTAACACAATCAATTCAAATGGTCCTGTTGATATGAGATTTATATCGAATAAATTTACTGCTAGACTACATCAGCGAAATAAACCAGTTGTTCTTGCCCAACCGTGTACAATCGTCAATGTTATGCCACAGACAGACTCGTTCTTGTCTTCTTCACCACATGTATCGTCTACAACCTCTTCAAATTTTGAAGTTAATTCTATTCCCTATCATCATTCAGTTGGATTGAAATCCGGTCCAGCTAGCGAATATTTCACTGAATCTGGTACATCTGGCGGTGGCGGCAGCCGCGGTGGGGCTGGTGGTGGTTCTGGTGTTGGCTATTCATCAGCATCATATCCAAATACTAGATTGATTAATGAACCTCAATTTCCTACTCAGAGAATTTGTATCACTCCCTCACAACCTACACAAATTTGGTCGAATCGGTTAACTACTAAAACTCCTATGAATAATGATGAGTCATCTACACATAATGTAGTTGACTTCAATCGTCTACTTGCCGGTGAAGATTCATTCTCAGAAGAAACTTTTACACAACCATCATATCAATATAGTCGTCCACGTAGGATACATATCCCGGAACCCTTACCTCCGTCAACAGTTACTCCTAACTCCTCCTGGTTTCCACAATTATCATCAGTCAGTAGTCGACAGTTTCAAGAAAGTCAGGTAAATTTTCTTTTTTTGTGTGGAAATTGGCTGCAATTGCAAGTGGTTTCAAAAATGTTATCATTAATTAACTTTCCTTAATGTGACTTTTAGAAATTCTCATAACATTACAAGTCAGAGAACTCCCCTATGAACGATGTGTGGTGTACGGCCAAGGGTGAGTAGACTTTTGGTCTTCCCCTCGAAAAGCTCTCATGTGTCCATATAACCTGGTAGTAGGTTAGTTCTGTTCACTGCCATCAAGTGGCGAGGGTGTTCCTCACGACGAAAGTGAAAGGAAGATTATGCCGGAATGATGAGCATGCAGGTCTACCTAGGGGAGCTGGAAAACCCTGGTTCCAAACCTACGGTGTACATGGCCCCCAGATTCCGAGAGGATGAAATGGCGTAGGAATCTGTTATGGTCATAGATGACCTTGGACACGCATCGCCCTGTTGCCTTGTGGATCTAACGCCGAACCAAAGTCTGGAGAGAGGTGGTCCATGAGGATTTTGCCTTGTCCTTCTGAGGATTTTACTGTCACCAATACTTTATCCTAGTTATTTTAAACTGGTTAGTAGAGCATAGATGAGTTTCTTCTCGGTAATCCCTTCATCCGATTCTAACTGACTGACTGGTACCAGAATAGAACTTTGCACAGAAGTGGACATGTTTTGTCTTGACCTCCGCTAGCAACTCTCTCCCAACCTGATCAATCCTATGTAAGTCAGATGACATTTCCCGTCGTCGAGGAAGGTGATGGCTAGGCATGCGCAACACATGTTTTAACCATGTCAATCAGTGTAACTTCACAGTTTCGTCGATTGATTTCCCTCCATCCTTACCTAGCACTCGACTCACGCCTAATCTCATTATTACTCACCCTATTATACCGTTTAACACACGGGAAATAGAACGCAGACACCTATGATCAAAGACAGCTAATTGTCCTTTACATGTCTTCCACTTTCAATAGCCATGTCTCACAGCCAGGCATAAAGGAGGATGGGCGAACTGCCAAGCAGTACACACGTCCTCTGGTTGACAGCCAGCTGTATATCACGTCTACGCTAGCGACGGCGTAAACTGGCATATGCGAAACTAGCCTTCTTCATCCGTTCTGAGATTTCGTCAGAGATCAACCTGCTGGCGTTAGTTGTTGCAACTCCCCAAATAGCAAGTGAAGTGGTCAACACGCTCCACCAAACACTTCACTCCCTATCTTTAAGCTAGGCGTCAATGTAGTCCAGTTCTGTAGCACCATCTTTCATTTCACATCAGCGAATGGCATGCGAAACATTCGAAGATTGCTATCCCTCAAGGTGTTCAGAAGACTCTGCATTTTATCAGCGTCTTCAGCTTGGAGAGAGGACTATATCTCATTCGTGTATTTTAAATCAAAGAGATTGGTAAAAGGTGAATCCTTGAGTTTCTGAAGTCAGTTAGGGTTAAGTTTATTAGTACACCTATGATGAAATTAAACAGAAATGGAAATATTGACAACTTTCCGCAAGCTCTTACTTGGCTGCGTGGGTTCAACTTGAGTGGCTTGATTAGCGCGAGATGCTTTCTCGGAATTTGTTTCGCATCCAAACACTACCTTAAAATCTCTCGGTCGATGTAATTAAATGCCTTCTTCAGGCCAGTAAGTATGTCTATGTCCGAGAATCTGTCGAAAGGAGAAGATTTGATCATTATGTCCCCTACTTGGTCTAAAGCCTGCCTGGTTTTCTCTTGTTTGTTTCTCTCGAGCACCATTTAATCGACACATGATCATTGAACCTAGACCTTAAGATACCATATTGGTCAAGCTAATTCCTCTATGATTATAATAGGCAGACTTGTCTCCCGTCTTGTATACTGAGATAATCAATGACTTAAACCAGTCTAACGGCACTGTCTCTGATTCCCAGATGGTGCCTGGTAGCTTAGTTAGGCCAAACAGCAATATGTCACTTTTGGAGTCATTCTATCAGATCCTTGTGCTTTGCATCGTTTCAAATTAGGGACAGCCTTATTCACCAGCCATAGATTCCACAACAGACCAAGGTGGCAATAGTGGCTGAGCATGTTTCGTTTCCACGCAGAGCTTCGATTGTTTCAAGTGAATTGCAATGGCCTCTGTTGTTTGAAGCATTTAGGTGCGTTTAGGCTCTTGGTAATTTATATGATACCCGGTATGTGATAGAAGAATATTCTTCAATACCAGATTTATAATTCATTTAGTCTAGTATGGAACTGCTGATGGTTTCAACTAAACCTTTATTTAGCCAATACACTGGTGTAGGTGTTTTCGGGCATGGAAAACTAAGTTCCTAGAGAAAAGTAGCCTATACAAATGACTGTTAAGAAAATGTGTCTGGTCTAAAGAAACAGTTGATCGGCATATATCCATCCATTTCATTATTTCATCAGTTTTAACCAAAGTGGTGTCGAAATAGTCATGATTCCCAGGTACTTTTTCTTCTTTTTTTTATCTCCATTATTATATGCACAGAAACCTTCATTTTATCGGCGTACTTCTGTAATTTGTCTTTGTAGAAAATTTCATACATTCCAACATACTTTTTATCCAGCATGATCTACTGGTATCACTTCTTTTACTGTTGAAATCCGAGGGGTTGTGTGTCTGTCTGTCAAGTATGACCTCAGCTAGATTGACAGTAAAGACAAATAATTTTCAGTAGCATTATGTAATTTGTTAGTAGTATGTAAGTTAATTAACATTTTTAAAATATCGACTTTTGTAAATCCTACTGCTGTTAACTCAGTCTTACTGACTGACTACCTAACGGATAGACAAATCAACGTGTATAGAAACAGGAATTCAGACTAGCATGCTTCGAAAAAGCACAGAAAACTGGTTATCTGTCTGTCTGTCTTCTGTTTTCGACATAGAACTTTGCACATATGTGCGGCAGTTCAAGTCGCCACACTCCCTCCTTGTAGCACACAAAGCAAGAGAAGAAAGTAGGAGAAATGCATATTAGAGACAGTAAACAGAGGTGTGAGACAAAGGTATAGTAATAACGAAGAACAAAACAGTTTCATTGGAAATCATAAGTCACAAGGAGTGGATGCATCTAATGCGCCAGCCATTGAGAACGATGAGTTTGAGCCATGTCACCGATTGTTTCCAACCATTGGTTTTTACGTCCCGAGGACCCCAACCAGTCAGGAAGTCTACACCTTCCTACGTGGCTTAAACTAACTGTTGTAGATTTCATTGACTGGTGCCATGTTTTGGTTTGACCGCCGCTAGCTCTTTTCCAGCCTGACCCTATATCAGCTAACATTGCCCATTGTCGAGGAAGGTGATGACTAGGCATGGTCGTAATACATGTCCTAACTATCTCAGTCGATGTAGCTTCACAGTCCCGTCGATTGATTTCCCCTCCTTACCTAGCACTCGACCGATGCCTAACTTCACTATTGCCCACCCTATTATACCACTTCACACGGGAGATAGAACGCAGACAACTATCTAGCTGCCCTTTTCATGTCTTCGACTCACAATGGCCAGGTTTCACAGCCATAAAGGAGGACGGAATGGACTGCTGAGCAGTACACACGCCCTTTGGTCGATAGCCGGATATCACGTCTACTAAGCCAGAGACGGCGTAAACTGGCATATGCGAAACTAGCCCTCTGTATCCGTACTGAGATTTCGTCAGAGATCAACCCGTTAGGGCTGATGGTACTTCCCAAATAAGTGAAGCGGTCAACGTGCTCTACCACTTCACTTCCTATTTCTAATCTAGGAGTCAGTGTAGTCCAGTCCTGTAACATCATCTTGCATTTGGCGGGAGCGAATCGCATGCCAAACATTCGTAGATTGCAGCTCAAGGTGTTCAGAAGACTCTGCATTTTGTCAGCGTCCTCGCCTAGAAGGACTATATCGTCTGCATATTCTAAGTCAACGAGATTATTCCCTGGTAGCAAGTCAATCCCTGAGTCTCTGAAGTCAGTTAGGGTTAAGTCCATTAGTACATCTATGAT